GGGGCTGTGCCGCGCAGCCGCCCGGAGCGTTGCGGCCGCCGTCTCTCCCGTCCGCCGGGGTTTGCCTGGTGCCTCCCGCTTGCGTGGATTTCAGTGGGAGCGAAAATCCGTGATTTCTGGCCGTTTGGGGCAAACTCTGCGTGGTGGCAGCGGTGGGCTGCGAGCTGAGAAGCAGTCTGGGAAGCCACTGCTTCAAGGCTGGTCGAGTTTTCTCTCTCACAAGCTATGAGGCAAACTGTGAGGTTTTCTAGCAAGTGTTGTTTTTAAAGTTTGCAGATAGAACAGTTGTGTGTTTCATTACATTGTAAGCGGCGCTTAAAAATGCGTAGCGCTGTATTTCAGTTTCTGGCGCTCAAAGTGCGAGTGGAACGGCTGGAATCCCCGTGGAACACCTCCCTGGCAGGGTGACGCGTCACGGGTGTGACCAGACGGTCTGCTTGGCCTGTACTGGCTTAAACACAGTGGAACACCTTGGTGTTTTCCCCTGCATGGTACTCCTAGCAGCTGACACTTCAGGTTTTTTTTTTTCCTCTTTTTCCTGTGCTCCTTCCGTGTGATCATGCACCGCTGGGTTTTGTATGCCTGCTTCCCTCCTCCCCCTTCTCAACTACACTTGTTAATTTTGCATTAGTTTATTTGCGTGTGCCGTTCGGTTGCCAAATTATTTCTTTCGCTTCCTCATGCGCACTCTGGTATTTGGCACAGGATTTGAAAATTTTAGTGGGTGCTTGAGAGCTCAACAAGGGCAAGAGGTTTTGTGGTTTTTCTGAAGGATTCCGTGTGAACCCCTCGATTCTTCCATGGTGGGAGAAGGAGGGGAAGGTATTTAAATTCCTGTGAGTTGAGAAGGGGAAAGTAAGTCTGGGGTAATTGTTTTGTGAAGGGATCCAGCTTTCCTGTCTCCAGTTTTGTTTTTTGCTGTTGTTCCTGTGACTGCTGATCTGATTTCTGCCCCCCCCAGGGCTACGAGGATGGTGAGGGGACTGCAGCATCTCTCCTACGAGGACAGGCTGAGGGAGCTGGGCTTGTTCAGCCTGGAGAAGAGAAGGCTGAGAGGGGACCTTAGAAATGCCTCTAAGTGTCTGCAGGGTGGGTGTCAGGAGGATGGGGCCAAACTCTTTCCAGTGGTGCCCAGCGACAGGACAAGGGGCAATGGGCACAAACTGAAGCAGAGGAAGCTCCGTCTGAAGATGAGGAAGAACTTCTTCCCTCTGAGGGTGACGGAGCCCTGGCCCAGGCTGCCCAGGGAGGCTGTGGAGTCTCCTTCTCTGGAGATATTCAAGCCCCGCCTGGACGCGGTGCTGTGCAGCCTGCTCTGGGTGACCCTGCTTGGGCAGGGGGTTGAACTGGGTGACCCACAGAGGTCCCTTCCAACCCCGACCATTCTGTGATTCTGTAAACTGAGATGAGAGCAGTAAGTTTGTCGAGCGATAGTGTAAGAAGGCTGTGAACAGCAGCAGAGGCACTGAAGTTGCCTGTTAGGCGTGCGGGCAGACTGCACTGGTTAATGCAGGTCAGATTTGGGAAGTCACCCTTTGGAGTGTGAGGGCTCATGAAAATCTTACTGCTTCTAAAGTTAATGGCACTCCTTCAGTGAAGCTTCTTGTGCCTCTTTAGTGTGAATATTTGGTTTTATTTTTGAGTTGGCAACGTATGTAACTTCAGGAGATCAGTTGTTTGATTTCTTCATGTTTTTTAATAACCTGACTCGAAGTGATGTTAATTTGTTCTAGATGATACTCAGCTGCTCTCTGAGGAAGAGGGTCTGGTCTGCCTTGGTAGCAGTATTACTTCAAGGGATGAGCGTTTTTCAGTTAAGGAGTGAATATATGATGAGGCTGTAACTCGAAAACCAGTTACGGTAATGTGAGTGTGAATGAATCTGCTAATATCACAAGTGATAATATTGGCCTTTATCTGCTGTTTGGCGGAGAAGCTATGGGTAAAAATCTAAGATTAGAACTTCCTAGGGCATAGCTGAAGTTAACTGGTATACTATAAAGTTTGTATTAGTGAGTGTAAAAATGTGTGTCATCTCGTCTTTCATCTGGCATTAACCACGGTAAAGAAAGATTTGGGGGTTTTGTCACAGAGTGGGAGGGTTTGTTGGGTTTGTGGTTTGTTTTTTTGGTGTTTTTTTTTTTTTTTTTGGTTGTTTTTTTAATTTTAACTCTTCAGGAAAATGAACAGGGAGTAGAATAACCAGATTACTGATCAAAATAATTAGGAAACTAGAAGCAGGTGAGAAATACAAAGGTAATGTAGGTCAGTGGTGATTGAAGTGTAGTAACAGAAGCTGGGAAATCTGGAATTCTGATCTCATCTGTCACGCCGATCAGCTCTGTAGATGTGCTAACTCTGCTTCCAGTGCTTCATTCGTTAGCTTCTAAAAGAAGGGAAATGCTGGTTTTGTTCTGGAGCAGATGTTGAGGTTGATATTTATAATGGTTGGCAGCTCAGTGCCTCTTCTGAAGCCAGTTCAGGGGTGGGCTGGGGTGGTGTGTAAGTACCATTGTGCAGGAGT